TAGATATAAATTGTCTTTTATGTTGTACTGTTAAATTCGCTAATTAGCGCCTTACAAGTGTTATGGCTCCTTTTTGGCCCGAGATGTTAGAAAGTTATATATAAAATTCCCTTTCCTAGCACCATTTAAGAACCCTGAATCATCCAGTATTTGTATGCCGCGTCAATGTCCACAAGCGAGAGTCGACAGGGTAGAGCACTGACAATATATAAACTTACGACAGGCCAATATAAGGTAGAAATCGACCTCAATGACTCAAAGCGATGACTATAAAGTATCAAAGTGTACTTAGGCAAACGCCCAAGTTGCTATTAGGGTAACTTCACTCTTGAGTTTCTTGTAACTGAACATACAACTATAACATACATGATCTAAGCTAAACAATAGCATATAAGCACAAAGACTAGATATTTAGAAGTTCCGTTGACTGTGAAAGCGGTCGTTTGAAATCAGTTTTGGGTGAAATAACGTTAAGTATATTCAGCTTATGCTCACTTATAAGAGGCCCGGCTTCAGCGGCTGATACTACTTGCGGACACGCTCCTTATAAGACTGCGCTAATATGACGCAAAAATGTTACGTATTGGTGTGTGAGATAGGCAGCCCTTCGCGCAATTGCTTTTCGTTTCTTATAGCTGCGTATTTGTATAGTGACGTTTAATATGACACGCGAAAAAGGGTAAAAGAAGCAAAAAAAAACATTATAAAGGGCGTGCAACATTGGTTAAGACATTAAAATGTCCTGCAATTAGATTCGTTTTTAAAATACACACCACTACCTGAATATGTACCTGCTCATCGCAGGAAATAGGTTTGCCACCCGTCAAACCTGGGCAATTCCTTCGGGTAACTTTCCGGCCGTTCCTTTTAGCAGATACTTTATAGTGTGTACCATCCTATACCTTGTTAATGTAATCCTTATGAGCCTCCAAGACTTCGCTGCACTGGTTCAGACGAGGTTGCGCAGGCAATAGTTACCTCCGATACTCTTAGTAGAATAAAATATGATCAACTTCGACTGCCGTCTGTCATAAATTTTATTATAGATATTTCAATCCAAACGAAATAACTCAAATGTCCTGCAACGCCAGCTTTGTGGGATAACTACTATATTACGCAACTCGTACACATTGTAGTAAAACGCGTAACAGCGACGAAGCTACAGGATCTGAGTCTGGACTCGTTGATTAGCTAATTATCGAATTGTGTTTATTCTGTGTTGGACTACTAAGTAGCCGTTATGGAATACGACCCCTAAGTCAACGATATAACTTTGGCAATATCACATAAATCATTAACGCTAAGTCGTTCCAATAGAGAACTTAGTTCAAATTAGGCTAAGCCGTTTATTTAGGTTTTGCAGTAAGGGGGCACACTATTATGTATTCGCATGTCCCCATTAAGGTTAAGCGAACGGCCGAAATGTCTCGATGCGCATGGTGCGCTTGCTGTTCATTTTCACGTGGACGAATATTAGGATCATCGCGCCCATAAAGTTTTACCTCTAGGTTAGAAGTTTGTCTAAAGATTTTGTATTGAAATAACTACATTATCTTCACGTATTCGAGGATTGTTGCTTTTTAATAGTAACTGAAGCGCTAGAAGAATGCTAGAAAGATTTTTCACTCAGAGTAGACGAAGAACGACTTTCATTAGTCGTCAGATTCGTCGTCGAGTTCAGGTTCGTCCTCATATGTTGGAACTTCTTCATCAGTATCATCGTCATCATCCTCCCACGGTTCCTCATACATAAAATCGTCATATTCTTCAGGGGTTTCGTCAGCCTCCTCCTCAGCTTCGTCTAATTCTGCCATCTCTTCGTCTTTAGTAACGTCGTCCTCTGGCGTTTCATCGTGGTCGCGTGCTCTCCTAGGAAGGTAGTCTTTTTCGAAGGATTTATCGTCGGCCTGGATTTGCTCATCCTCGAATCTATCTTCCCCCGGCTCATTGTTAACTTCGGACAGATTTTTTTGGAATTCTGATGCAGGAGCCTCATGCTTCAGGAAGCCATTATCATCGAAAATATCGTCGGGATCAATCGATACATATGCATCGATAACTTCATCTTTCGTGAGTGACTTTAAAGAATGGTCCCTTTCGGGTACTTCATAGTACTGCATAACTGTGCAATAAATTCTAGTTCTAAGACATTACCTATGACTGCGCCTCTCGATTTAGTCACACAGAGTTTTGTTTCAAATCTCAAACTTGAAAATGCTCGAATCGACCTGTGAATCGGTATACACAGAGCTCAACACTCACTCGTTTGATCATATGAGACTCTCTATAAACTGAACTTCGTATCACGTTTTTCCAAGCATATGACTAGATAACTACAAGCCCAATTTGTCAATTGATGTAGTTAACCATCAAGTGAGAAATAACAATCCGATATTTTTCAAATCTAGGCTTACAAATACAATCCGTGACCTATTTACCGTCACTATTTCCTCACTATCCTACAAACCAAGAAACAACGTACTTTGTCAGCTTCTATGCTGCATTTTCATTACTCGGTACTGTTAGATAGAATAAACATACAGATGCTAAATCCTACGCACGAATACCTCGGTTGGGTGTGTATGGTAAAGATAAACTGACGCTATACACTTAAGTGCTGCGCGCGGCAGTAGATTTTAACACAATTAAAAACTATGCTATTTTTTTTTGAGTTCATAGGATTACAAAGAGAATGTAAGCGTTGCGTTAATCATCGTCGATGGTAACGCTAGATTTTTTACAAAGTACTATGATTAAAGATATCCTACGTTACACATTAGATCAATAGGAACCAATATGAATTACTAAAAACTGATATTGGTAATTTAAAACAATCATCAAACTAGGCTGCAAAGGCACCACTTTGCACTGTAGTATGTAAATCGATGCCATAATTGTAGTCGCGTACTAAGTTTGATAAGTTGAAACGATCCTCATAGTGTATGTGCGTCTACTTATACACTAAATCCCACTTTTATATCCTAACTACTCCCTCTCCATATATATATATATATATATATATATATACCTGAACTGTTACATCGCCTGAAAACATCAACTTTGAACAGGTAAGTCTGGAACTAAAAAGATTATAAAAACCCAGTTTGAACCTATTCACGACAGGTATATATGCAGTTCGAGTTGGAAAAAGTTGTGTTCTGCGCCCTCTAGCCTTGTATGTACGGCAATTATGTATCAGTCATCCGTAAGCACATACGTTGGTTCTCTGTGCCTCGTATGCAAGTGATAACAAACGCCATTGATGATAACTTCTCAGGGAGATATAAGATCTTCGTCCGTACCTCTGCCCTCACAAGAAATAGCGCCCTAGTCCTTATACGGAACTTCACTATCTTCGTTTTTTTCATTCAGACCTCGATATTTTCGCTAAGCTGTTATCACTGGCTCTGTATGTCGGCGCCGTTATTCTTTCCGCTGATGAAAAGACTGCGAGTTAACAAAAATGTCCATAGACGGCCATGATAATGATGAAGGGTAGCCGACAACGGTTCCATTGAGGGAAGTAAAAGAGATTTATGAATTCAACACAATCTGGTGTGGCTTGACAACAAATAGTGTTAAGCGTCAAAACAAGGAAAAGAACCGTTTTACAGGATTTATATACATATATATGCACAGAGAAGATAGGGGTAAGATCAACAACGCTCCGTCACGTATAACAACTCAGCAATCTATGACAGTAAAAACAATAATAATAATTCGCCTTTTCAATTGCATGACAACTAGATTTAGCGGGCTTCGCCCAGCGTTTTACCTTCTGCTTCTGAAGATATTTTCCCAATAGGGTTCCATAGACTCTTTTTAAAGGAGCCCATTATTTTTCAATGGTACAAGAGATAGGAGATGCCTTTCGTATACTGTACCCAATTATCTCTCACATAGTGCTCATTGCGATCCTCTGTTCAAAGACCAGGCACCTTAGTCAATGCAAAGTTATCGTGTGCAGCTTTCGATAGTGTACGCGACGTCTGTAAGGTAATTCCCTCTCTAGGAAGAATATTGTACACGTACTTATGCCTGTATAACACATTCACTTTTTTCAACCTCCCTGAGTGCATATATCTATAGCCTGCCCTTGCTATTTCTATTATCGATAATGTGGGCAGCTCGCACTTTTGATTGACTAATTAACGGAATCAACAATTAGTGTATGCAACTGCGATTGTATTCGGTCCACATCCTATTCGTTCACTATTTAGAGGAACCATCCTTAACTTTTCCTCACCTACGGACGGGGTCTAGGAGCTTGCTTGTAAGCTAATTAGGTCGACTCATGGACAACGTTACCCAGCCTATTATTAGCTGAGTCGTCCCGTCCGAAAACAAAGTACGTTATCAAGCAATATTCATGCTCTGTTTAAGTTTTCGCTACACTTTAAGCCACTGGCGGACAATGATAACTGTAGAAGAAAATAACAGTTTTCCAGGTTTATTTCGTTTGGCACCCACATAGTTGTAATTTTCTCAGCTGCACAAAAGGTCTTGCTATTGTTGTTTCAAGGACCTTCTAGGGTAAGAAGTTGAATGTGAGGTCTGGGGAGGAACTGAACGGGGGGTAGCACTGTGACTGTTGTCTCTGCCTTTCCTATTGAAGAATTCATTATTATAAGGGGAGCAACGTATGTTTGCACGCGACGGTTCAAAGCTGGGTCGTTACTATGTGCCTCCGATAAAACAGGTTGATCTAGTTGTCCCCTGATAGTTCAGTGGGTAACGTGCTGATTTTAGGTTTGAACCCGGGTATAGGCGAACTTCGATGCTTAACAGCAACGCCGGACGGAAAATTCGAGACATAGCTGATGTAGTTACCACCCAATCGCCGAAGTGCAACCGTTTGCTGCTATGCGAACCATTCACGGTCGTAAAAGATGTGCCTTTCACAATACGTAGTAATATCTTTATTTATGATGTAACCCCTTTGTAAATACGTAACGTAGATAAATTATAAATCAGTAACGTAGATAGCTCAGCTGTATTGTGAAAGCGATTTCTGCCATCAAAAATCAGAAGAAATTAATCAGAACTGTTTGCATAGGGTAGAAAACCGACAGACAAGTGAACTTGTTCTAAAGTGTGACGGGCTTAATTGTATATAAGTCTTTCAGTTAAATAAGGCATATACGCTTTAGACCACTGATCCGTTATCATGAAAAATTAAGCCAGGTCTTGGTCGCGCGACATATTGTCTTGAACTGGCGATATACACTGGTGTACTTTTCATAACTTGTAGTGCCTTCAAATATTTTTTTCAATGGCACGTTACTGACGAAGCACTCGCTGTTAACTTATATTTACATAGTTTTATTAGACTTCACGAGCTGTTAACGAGTTAACAACGGACAACTGTCGATCACGTTGTATACTTAGTGGTGGCAAATTATTTCTTTTTGCGATTTAATCGGCTGTGATGAATCCCGTAGCCAAAATAGACCGCTGAACCTGTACATCAGATATGATAATTATAATTACTTTATATTATATTAGATATTTTTTTCAAAATGTTTGGTCTAATTACAGTATATCGTGCTGGATCGTATGGCAAGATCGCTTATGCTGATCACGGTCGGTAAAATGCAATTTTCTTAACGGCAAAGTTTTACGTAAGGCGGTATGTGTTCTTCGGTTAGAAAAGTATAACTTTTCGCGGGACAGCGATAACTTGAAACTTACCAATAGCTAACCAAATGATAAGCCGTATCCAAGTAATCAGGTCGAGTGTCACTATAAGCCCGGCGTTAAATATGATCGAAAATATGGGAAGAATAGGGACCCAAGGCATCTGAAATAATTCAGTGTTTTCATTTGACAAACAAAGATCTGTGAGTTGCCCTTACACAAAACAGGAGCGGACCCAATTGCAAAAACGGCCCTGTATTCGATCATGTGTATGTTATGATATTGTTGTTTTCTTACATTAGAGTAATAAGCTAACAAATACCGTGTATACGTAGATTGACCATATGAAGGGAATTGCCGTTAAATAAAAAAAAAAAAAAAAAACTAGACTTACGCTGTACTGGTCGTTCGAGAAATTCGAGTTTCCGGGAAGTTCGTGGGCAAAAATCAATAGACCGCATATTATTATGGTAATCACGCTGATACTGGCAATGGTCCAGCCGAGGTAGACCATCCAGGTAGGCCCGTTAGCGATGTAACGATTATATTTGACGATAAAGGCGGCTAAAATCGTGGCTATAAAGGTGATAGCCAAGCAAACTACAGAAAGATAGCGCACAAATATAGAAACGATATTGAAAATGGGTGAACTTGATTTTTGATCGGATTTCGATCGTTTTTGGTAAACACACAAACGACTCTTATATGAATTCTTTTCGCTGTTTGTTTTATAGCTTTAATTGGCTATGCAAAGGCAAACTGATATCATTGAATGAGGGACCCAGTAAAAAGAGAAACGCATACAGTGCGTTGATGCATGAATATATGTATATTCCCAGAGACCCACGCCTTAGGCATACTACCGCCTTACGTACCGACGACAAGTTGGCGCTGCCCATAACTGGAAGGCAAAAACTGCCGTAAAAAACGAAAAGAGGGTTTGAGGCCATGTAAATCTGTTGGTGAAGCATTCATTACTGTGATGCAGTGTAAACCATCCGAGATCTGAAGATCTTCAGGGAAAGTGTGGACAGTCGAAGGCCTGGACGAATCGATCAATTCCGGCCCATCCCGAGCTGAAGAGTTTTCTAACTGGAGCCACAGTATAATAAAGCAAGCTAAATATTTTGATTTAGGTAAAGTAATTAGCTTTTACTTTACATAGATCCATACTAAATATAGATCATTTTAAAAATAATCACATCGGTCTTAAATTACAAGATTTACATGCACCGACCACAAGTTCCACGACCACTGCGACATACTATTCATACATATGGGCCCGCGTAAGTGGAAACTATGGATCTAAAGAAGAATAACACCTAAAAGACGAAATGCTATTGATAGATGTGACATGAGCTGATCAATCTAGTAGTAGTTATGATCTTTTAGCTGCCGTCACAGTAGTAAAATAACCAGTTTGTAAACGTTGATATTTTTTTGGCACTGATGTAAATATACAGAAATGTGTATTTTTTCAGTTATTTGAGTTCAGCAAATAATAAACGTGTCAAGTATAACATAAATGCTTACCTCAATAACCACATCTAAAGGTGTATATTTGGAAATAAGTAGGGCACACGCTACGATCATATAAGCTAGCAGTGTACCAATTGAAAGCATGTCGACCAATGCTTCCGTGTTTAGCATGCAGGCACAAATTGCGGACAACAACGATAGGACATACATAGACACAACTGGCACCTGAGACTTATTCAGGACAATCGAGAACGACGTGAAGAGTAGGCCATCTTCGGCCATCGCATACCCAACGCGGGTCATAGCAAAAACCGTGGCCATAATTACCTGCAGGACCGTTTGCTCGTGTTATTCTTCGATATGTAAAATATAAATATGGAATATTTTTTTTTAATTATTGCTATAGTACCTATACTCTATGGCACAAATGGTCGGATTCCATAATAAAGATAATTATAACTTCGCAATGATATATATATCTATTATTCCACATGAGTGATGAGATATTATGATAAAAATGTCACAAACAAGCTATTTATTAAGCTTGATATTGAGGGGATTCGGGTGGCAGATAATACATAGGGTCGCTCACAGGTGTTATATTTGATAATGGTTGGGAGGGAAATTTGGTTGTCTACTGAAGTGATCGAATGCCTACATTTCCTGTTTATAGGCCTGAATTAAAGGTCGGTTTTTGAAATTTAATATTATACCGCGATAAAAGTCAAACTGGTATGAACCACGACAGAGAAATATTTACCAAGAATCACATAAAGGTATCCAATACCTCAAAACTTACCGTTGACATTCCGGCAAGAGCTCCGGCGGAGACGATATACTGAGCCCAATAAGCCTGATGAAATTTTAATGCTTCAAGTAAACCAGACGTAGAACTGATATCGGCGAAATACATCTAAAAATGTAATTTAAACATACATTACGGAGTAGGCACTAGAGTCAAGCACATGGAATCCAAAGGTTTTCCGTTCTAACCTATGTGAATTAACATGGCCTTGTGCTTGCAGATCTACAAATTATTATTACACGTTTGAATAACAAGTTATAATAAAAAAAAAAACTGATACTTTTATCGTGATGAACTGTGTGCAAAGCTACTCGCCTACCATTAGCGTGAGTACGGCGGCAACGAGGACATAAAGTGTGGTAACGATTGCCATAGAAACTATGGTGGCTACAGGAAGTGACTTCTGCGGATTGAGGGCCTCCTCGCCCGATGCGGCGATCGCGTCGAAACCCACGTATGCATAAAAGCACTGTGCAGACGCCTACCAAAAAACATTTATTGTATTCGATCGCCAGAAAAAGCGATACCCTCAAAGAGCTTTTCTTATTAACACATTTATCAATGTTGAGGGGTTCAATGCTAATTGAGGTCTGTATAGATCATCAATTATATTGAGTTTGCAAAAACAGTTAAGCTAAAATGTTTGAATGATTTTCAAATGTGTCTATTTCAACGCGTTGATCTCAGCCAAACAAAGCTTAAAACTGCGATCTGATGTTTCTTACTGTAACTGAGGTTTCTCTCCGAGGTAGACCAAAAATCTCCTTACTTGTAAAACACCGCTAATTCCGTACGGCATGAATCCGTTGATGAATTCTGGATGATCTTCCTTAACGAAATTCGCATTGTTTTCATGGTACTTCCAATTATCGAAATCCGCATAATAAAAACCCACTCCGACAACGGTAGCAAGGACTACTACATTAATACCCACGAGCGTATTATTTAGTCCCGAAGTCGTCTTTACACCGAATGTCATAAAGATCACAAATCCCATTAAGATTGCAAAAGCCAAGAAATCCGGAACTTCCGAAAGATAGGGATCAGTGGTAGAAAACTCTCCCATAATAGCTCGAGTTCCGTTGAACACGACATACCCAGTTAACGAATCGATGTATGCACTACACGCCCGAACGCACGCCGCTGTTGCGAGCATATTTTCGAGAAGAACGTTCCAGCCAACAAAGAAGGCCCAGAACTCGCCTATCGAATAATAAACGTACGAGTAGGCTGAGCCCGAGCGTGGATAGCGTACTCCGAAATCAGCGTACGCCAAAGCCGCAAGGAGTGACGCAACTCCAGCAATCAAATACGAAAGGATTAATGCAGGCCCCGTAGTGCCACGTGCAATCGATGGCGAAAGTACGTAGATTCCCGAACCCAACATATGACCAATGCCCAGCAGTGTAACGTCGTATGACGTTAAACACCGTTTGAGATTCGTGGACATGATGTCCATAGTGGACACCTCCTTCTTCCGGGATAACATGTTGATGATCCACATCTTGACAAAAATTTTGTTCTAGAACCGACCTATACAACTGACAACGACGATAAACACCAGGTACTAAAGTCTCCTGACGACCTTGTTCCTGCTAGCACATAGGACGATAACGAGAAAGTAGAATGTCCTTTCGTTGACTTCGTGACGATTGACATCGATCGCGTCCATATTACAGGAGATCCAGATGCCGGTAATCTGCGCCCAGGATCATTTTGGCCACAACTCTATCAATACCGAGCAGAGTGAGAAAAACCATTATTCGCTAGGTACCACTTCGTAGATGTTGGCTGTTGCTGTCCTATTACGATTGTCTCAATAGTTACGGAAAGGCCGTGTAATTTGCAACCTAGTGAACCCCGACAGGTTCCAATCTGTTTACGTAAGGGTAGGTCGATAGAGGCCGAGATAACGGGTGTTGTTTTGTGAATAGGATCGATTCTGGGAAATGGTGAAGCTTTACTGTCGCACCGCAACTTGCATTTAGATACAGACTCTTTGGTTTTCGAATGTCCGTTTGACTCGTAAAATGAACGGACAGACATAAACCTCTGGGATAGTATTACTATTATCACGATGATTGTGATCATTCAGAGATCATTGTCATTTTACCGTCGGATGTTACAGTGATCAACTCAGCTTCAGTCCAGTGGGAATATTCGGATCCAGTCTCGCAGTCTCAGAGAGATCTCACGCCTTTTCTTCCTATACAGACCAACTAGCAAACACATACAAGCGCGGGCAGTCAAAGATTACCGAACATTTATTGTTGTTAGCAGTTGCCACCGATACTGACTCTACAACGACGGTAAACGGTGTGACCACTGAACGTTTAACAGCGTCTCCGACTGTGCGCTTGTGTATATATGTGTGCGTGTGCGTGAGGGAAATATGCTATGGAATAGACAGATATATATATATATATACATACGAAAAGTCGCCTATAAACAACGCTCATTCCAATGCTAACTGCTTCGGTGCCTCAATGGCCGCAGCCTGTTACGTTCTTTCACAACTAGTCAGCTAGCTCTTTCGGCGTATAGCGAAATAAGTCCATAAACTCGCCCGTGTAAGTACATTATCATCAGTAACAGGAACGGCAGTATAAAATGGAGCTGGTCGTTTATCATAAGAAAAGAGTACACAAGTCTCATAAATAGTTGTTAAAAAATCGACGATTTCCATAAGATATTAGAAAGAAGGCCATTTCGTTAGCCCAAAACCTTTAGGTAACTTTCTGTTACATTCTTTTTGAGACTAAAATCTTAGCTAAATCAACCTTTCAACCGACGTTCGCGTTTGTGTGGGCGTGGAAACTTTCCGCGTATACGATACGCATCTAAATCTAACTCAAAGAAGATCACCGGCAACTGAAATAGTATCTCGAACTCGAAAAATTAAATCGGGTTATTTTTATCGACTTTTCCATAACATAAGCTGTAAAAGTCTGTCGACCGTGAACGCTATCGGTAGACAATTTTTATGGGTGGACAATAGGCAGATTGATCCCCTCCTCTACACGTTTAAGTAAATTAGCGACACTGGCCGTATCTGTGAGAGTTCATTGAGAGCTCAGGGCTCCAGCGGTTACGGATCGTTTTGCCCTTATAGGCACTCCTGTTGGCTTCTTACTATTTATTAGCAATGATTTATATCGATAGCAAACTGCAAGTTGGAACTCATCAATGAGACCATAATCAATATTTACCTGAGTTCCCACCCGTTTCATAGTAAACACAAGTTTAGCTCTAATCTGAATACTAGAACTTTTTCATTGATTGGGACCCTGGCAAAGGTAAACGTGTTGAATACGCTTATCACAGATAGGTGCCTTTTACAAATCATTGGCTACGCGTCTCATGTAGCAGTATTCTAAAACTACTAGATAACTTGATTCACGCACACAAAGAACTTTGGATAATTTCTTTAAGGTATTCTGCTTTCTAACGACTTTTATGCGGTTTATCGACTTCGACGGAATAAGTACAATGACTATCTTAGCTAGGTTTGTGGACTTTTAGTTTGGCCTAGAGGCTAAAATAGATTTGTTAGATTGTCGAGTACCATTATTTGATGGCAATCGGTATTTTGCGACCGGGCATCGTCGAAGTTCGTTTGTCACCTTCCTAGGCAATAATAACGAGAGGTTTCATAGTTTAAAGCATGATCATGCAATACTTCTTACGAAAAGAAGGTGAGACATCTGAAACGTCATTTGCATTCCCTTAGCCAAGGAATATACCGCGCGAATTAAAAGTGCGTATTTCCTTCATCTATCTGACGATACTTCATTTCCTATGCTTTCGCTGAGTACATTCGATAAATGAGGATGTCTTCACCTATGTTAGGTTCGCGATATGTTGTCTTCGTATTGCATTTCGTTGCCATATAATGAACTTTCAGCGTTCAACAGCTGTCATTTTGTCCCTTCCTTCATTCCTCACATTGAGCCGATCCCGTCAGTTACGTTCAGTTTGCGCGATACTCATGAGAAACACGTGATGCCACGCTGGCAATGGTTCATCTCCGTCGATTCTGTTCAACTGTGTGTGTGACGTCAACAACGTTGTGGGGCTAAGTCCGCAGGTCAAACCTGCCTTAAGATAATTCTCCCTTACCGGTTCCCAAAGTTACAAAGATGCTTTACCAGCAAAGCTCATGACCGCTTTTAGACACTAGCGTTCGACTTATCGATATATATATATATATTTGTATTTGTCATAACACAATAATCGAGTGTTTTCAAATTGAAAATTTCAAATGTCGGTAGACGCGGCCACCGTTCGAGAAGGCTATTTCGCTGAAGTTCTTTCGAAGACACGACGACAACGACTAAAATTGGAAAGCTTATTGGGGCAACGAGATTTGCTTTTAGCAGGAATACGTGCACAAACGCATCTCAGTCTTAAGTAATTAATCGAATTAAACTTTTAATGCAATTCCTGTTAACTTCTAAGGAAAACTTTTAACCCGATCTACGTACGCCTACCTCTGGATACTGCTCCCGAAGTTCCCTAGTAAAGCTCATAAATAAAACTATGGATTCGGCATATCGTACAAGATAATAATACAACAATAGCATTGAACAAACGATAATTTCTGATAACATATGCAAAGGACGTTGGCAGTTGTAAGGCAACGAATTTATTCACGGTGTTAAATGATTGGTAAGATCGTAACTGTCCTACACTTTTATGGCAACAAATAATTACTTACCATCGATCTAACTGGACGCAATCAGTTAGCAGTGTAACCCAACGTTTTTGAGGCAAACCAATCCCACCGACCACCATATCTACACTAACGTACACTTTTCTGTGAGTGACTGTTCTGTGAGAGAAGAACAAGGCGAAAATCGCATTGTCTTCATCATTCATCATGGCAGGTCTAGATTTTGTTTTAGCACCATAGGACACAGTATCTGAGGGTCTTAAGGTTACTGTTCTACACGAGAACAATTAGAATCTAAGTCAGGGTGCCGGACTAACTAGCGGAACAAGCGACTCCTCTATTTCTCGTACGTAATAAAAATTACCGCGAATTTTGTTCAACATGAACAAAACGATACATTCTTTTATTGCCTGTGTCTTGCAGGTTCAGAATTTAGTTCCGGAAGTTTAAAAGTTAATTTAGGATTAACAAGCAGAACACTTAATTAATTCAAAGTGCACCAGTTCAATTCATTTATAGAAAAGTGGTGGATTGGAACATACAGTTTAATTGCACGTTTCTTATATAAAGCAGTGCACGTACCGATTTGCTGTGATACTCAATTACATAAGCCTGACACAGTCTAGCCCCTAAATATCGTACGTGCTACACAGAGAATACGCGTGCAGTTTTTTTTCGCATATTATGTTAGCTGATTCTTAAATTCGATTCCCTCTTTAGATTCCGTAATATTATTGAGCTTCAGCGTGATATCGATTAACCCTGTTCGTAATGAGACTTGCCATACCACGTAGCTCTTGGTATGTGTTGTTAGGTAGATTAAATGTCTTTCTTGTCATGTAGGGATGGAGTGACTAGTCTAAGACGACAAAGCGACACTTTTATGGTATTCCAATATCCAATACTGTTCTAGAACACGTACGAAAATCTCGTTTTTTTTTTTTTTATATTTGCTCGGCTGAAGCATTGAAGTATTCTATTACACTGCCTAGGGCTCTGTTGCTCTAAGATATGGATTTTGCGGGTATACGCCTGGCTTCGCTTAGCCCTTCCCTTGCGTTCAACCTCAGATAAGATAAACAGGCGCCTCCCATCGGAAATCGACTCATCAGAGTCAGGCGTCTAGACCTCACATGAGATATGAGCATCAATCCGAGCTCGTTTTCAGAAATCTCCATTCCCGTCAGCGTTATATACTCTTTGGAGGATGTCCGAGTATTTAAATGTCGATAAATAGGCCCATTTTTGTTTCACAGAACGACACATGTCAAATGCCAGCTTAGTCATATAATGTATTGGTACATGCACTATCGATAAAAATAAGAATCCCGCACGTGTCTGAACTGACTTTCTGTATTGTTGGCTTGTACAAGCCGTACTGCGTTTACTTCTACAAACCTCTCGCTGGCCGTAACCATGCTTCACTTTTCATTTCATGTGCAACAAACTTATTCGGATATAATGCTATTGTCAAACCACTACGGTTATAACATAATAGTTATATATAATTCGGAAAGCTTTTCCTGATGCAGATGAGGCCGGCCTAAACCTAGCAGTGGTCAATATTAGCCCACAATTGTGTTCACTAATTCTTCTTTAGAAAATTTCAAAGGACCATTCACTCTGATAAGTGAAGAGGTATCGCGAATATGCTGACAAACTGTCCTATTATTTGAATAATACATATCTGCGCTTATCAAATCTCCTCTCCCTTTATCTCTCTCTCTCTCTCTCTCTCTTTTATATATATATATATATATATATATATATATATATATATATATATATAACAAGAACAACAACTGAAAAATTTGGTCATTTGTTCGGCATGCGCTCAAAGTAGAGTGTAGTCTACGATGTATATATATATGTGAGACAATTTTTTTTGCAACAAGCCTTAAGTTTACTTGTAGAAAAAAATGAAATCGGCTTATTTTTTTAATAGTTAATATAAGCGTAATTATTTTCCTTTGAGTTAGAGCAATTACTAGATTTAAGCTGGTTTTTTGGCAAGTCTTGCGATTGCTGTAACAGCACGTTCTAGAACGAACCAAAGCGGTTTGCATATTGTAGGAATCCCTGTAACCTAGCTTAATCATATATATAGTCCTTGTTCTTTTTCATGAATTACTTACAATTTATTACTTACAATTTACTGAGCCTTGAAGTATCAAGCCAACAAAACTTTGCCATTCAACAAAGTGATAACAAGAGGGATGTCGACATTGGATGCACTAAATACAAAGGTACGAAGGTGGGTGGGTGGGTGGGTGGGGAGAGCAGTTTTGACAAACCCTGGACTGATCGGGTTGAAAAAGAAAACGTTTAGTAGCTCTACGTTGTTTATGTTACGATGTCTATCGTAAGGTATTATTAGCATGCATTACGACATCGTGACGGTGCACACGACTGTATAACTAAGAATCATTCTATTCTTGTTATGGGATGGGCCGAAAGAAAAGCTAGAGCTAGTTTCCTTTCAGTGGCTTGCCCACGTGCCGTAGGAGTAGTTGATTCGTGTCTACAAGATAATAATAGAATTGAGATGGAAAGATGTCACAAACAAACTATATAGGTTATTGCCGTTCGTTCTGCCATTGAAATAGAACGCAGCATTTTATTCATGTAATCTCGGACCG